TGAAATCAATGGGCTATCAGAGAATCAAACCTATACTTCCTGACCCTGCATCTTTGTGGGGAAAAATAGGCTTTTGTTACTCATAAATTGACACATGACTCCTGATATCAATGTGAGTGTGACAGATTTTCACTTTAGTGGAAATTAAATTATCAGTACCGGCAGGTTAGAAAAATCACTTGCTTCAGTCGGAATGTTTATTCATTCTTTCTGTTTTCCAAACTTGAAACAAACACTGCCTTATAACTGCAAAGATTTATAAACCACGAGAAAATACGAGTTACCAGTTCTTTTCCTTTCTTAAATGTGCTATTTCTCCCCTTTAAAAAAAAAAAATGTGCTCATTCTATTTTTTATCGTTGCTTTGCATCATCAAAACCTTGATGTATCCTCAACTGTTCATTTAGCTTTCACAACACAGCAGCCTGACTCATGAGACCCTGGCAGCCCTGCTCCATCAGGAGGCCCTGTTGTTTCTCCTCTGAAAACAGAGTTCCCGGCTGCCTGCTCACCCCTTCCCACGGCCAGCGTGTGGAGGCAAGCTCACCTTCCTCACTGGGGCAGCTGCAGTGACGGTGCTACTGGTCTCTCCAGTTCTGGTCTTGCCCCCATCCGGTCTCTTCTCCCCTCGGGAGTGAAGTAACCCGTTTGAACTATAAACAGGCTCATGGCTTCTCCTGATGACACGGCTCCAATACTTTCCCACTAAATTTCAGATGTAATCCAGCTTCCTTCCCAGGCCTTACAAAGAAGGGGATCTCGCCCCTCTGTACCCTTCATTTTGACCTTGACCCCTCTCCTTCTTCATGGTTGGGCTGCTCCTGGATGGTGCTTTGATTTATTGACAAGAGGATGATCCAAAACTGGTAGCATTTCTGCCTATGCAATCAGCGGTAATGTCAATCCAAATGAAGACTATGCAGGGCTAAAACACTGGGATATTCTCTCCCCAGAAACAGTGTACAAAACAGTAACATCCACTTGAAAATATATTTCTATGAAAGCTGTTTACTGCTCTAAATCCGGACAGTGTATTTACAATGGCCTTAACCAATAATTTATCTCTTTTTAAATCCAAAAAGTAGCCCTGGCCAGTTCGGCTCGGTGGTTAGAGCATTGGCCTGTGGTCCAGAGAGACCCGGGTTCAGTTCCCGCTAAGGGCACGTACCTCGGTTGCAGTTTGTCCCCGACCCTGGTTGGTCGTGCGTGTGGCAGCCACTCGATGTGTCCCTTTCACATCGATGTTTCTCTCTCTCTCTCTTTCCCTCCCACTCTATCTGAACAAAAAATGGAAAAATGTCCTCAAGTGAGGATAAAAAGAAAAAAAAATCCAAAAAGTTGTTGCCATGAGCTTCACTTGCTACTAAAAAGCTATTAAGTTTCTAGTCTTCTCATTGGGCTTTTTATTTTCTTCATAAAGGTAAAAATAATGTTTTTTCAAGATTGTTAAAACAGGAGTCATTTGTAACATTATTGGGAATGGAGGGGCCATTTTTTTTTTTTTCCAATTTAATTCGCTTTTGGGGGGGGGGATTATTCTCTCTTAGTTTTTCTCATTTTTAGAGCCTTTGTTGTATTAGGTATATCTTGCTCTGTAACAAATTATCTCACAACTTAGCAGCTTAATACAACAAATACTATCTCACAGAGTTTAAGGGTCAGGAGCCCAGCAATGGCTAGTTGGGTGGTTCTGGCTCAGGGTCTCTCATGAGAGTGTAGTCAGTGATTGGCTTTGGCCATAGTCCTCTGAAGGACCCATTTCTAAGCTCACGAACATGCCTCCTTGGAAGGAGGTATCAATCCAAGAGAGGAAAGCAAGATAGAAGCCGCAGCATCTTTTATGACCTAATCTTAGAAATGAGGTACCATCACCTCTGTCATATGCTATTAGTCACACAAAGCAACCGAGATACAGTGTGGGAGGGGACTATACAGGCTGTGAACGCCAGGTGGAGGGAATAACTGAGGGCCATCTTGGAGGCTGGCTATCAAAATTTCATTGATACATATGATTTATCCATGATGTGGACTTGGCAGAGGAGATGTACACACATTTCACATTTATAATGAAATATATTTTCTTTTCAAAAATGGAATGGTGCCTTGCCGGTGTGGCTCAGTGGACGGAGCATCGTCCCATGGACTGAGAGTTCCCGGTTGGGGCACATGCCTGGGTTGCAGGCTCGATCCCCAGTGGGGGTGTGCAGGAGGCAACCAATCAATGTTGAGGCTTCTCTCTCTCATCAATGTTTCTATCTCTCTCTCCCCTCCTCTCTCTCTAAAATAAAAGAAGAAGAAAAAGAAAAAAATCAACAAAAAATAGAATGGCATGATGAAAAATTGTTTAATGTTTTAATATTACTATCACATTATTAATTCACTTTATTTAACTTATTATTACCACACTCTGGTAACATTTGATAATTGGCAGAGCATTTCTAGAGGATTATTTAGACAATTACAAAACATTAAACAAAATGCCTGTTGAATCGATGCACATTAATGATTGATTGCACATTCCAAAATACAGTTCACATCAGAAAAGCAAAACTATTTTGTTTACCCATGGCAGTGACCAAGAAATTAAATCAGATTAAATTAAAATGAACAATACATCTTTTTTAAAAGTTATTTCTTAAAACCTTTTTGGGTATGTTTTAGGCATCTTGAGAGTTCTGTCGCTTGTTTACGTGTATTAAAAGAGGAACAGAAACCAATCTCGTGTAAGATAACGATTTGTATAGATTAAACACTGAGAAAATATGCCTGGACTATAATATCTAAGATTACTCATATTCTATATTTCCAAACTCAAGTTGCCACAAACGAGAACATTCTAGTTCCTTATCATATAGTTCTATGGAGCCATATGTTGGTACTACCTTCCATCTGTGATATTATAATGCGCAGTCTATTTTCATTTTGGTTCTTACAAGATGCTAAACCACTCTTCACATGTCCGTGTCATTTAAACAGGTAGCATTTTAGATCTGGAAAGATCCTTGGAATTTTTTATGTTAAAAGCTTTTATGTTCCTCTCCTTTGAAAGGTTGGGAAATACTATACTCCTCATATGTCCTCTGTTTCATCCTAAAAAATATGATTAAAATTGTGAACCTTGTAATAGCACAGAGCAGAATCAAATCACTGATCATTACTCACTGAATATAACCTCCAGAAAAAATCCAGTACCAGTTGACATAGTATGTTCCAAAGAGTTAGAAGAAGAGAAATCAAAGAAGGGCACTGGGCAGGCTATGTCCTTTTGGGGTCCCCTTTACCACTTCTGCACACGTACCCACACATGATCAGTTGATAGTGCTTCTCTCTGAGTATTTAACTTTCTTCTTAAAAATAAAACTGAGATATTAAAAAATTACCAAGGTTAAAAGTAGAAGTCATTAGAAATATAACACGAACACACACCAACACACACTCAACTGCCTATATTTTGGTTACTCTACCACATGTTAAAGAGATTATTCAGGCTTAGCATCAGGGTCATATAAAAAGTTTCATTCTAAAGTAAAAAATTTTTCTTTCTTTTTATTTGGCTTGTGAAATTACAATACAGGGTATAGAGCTAATCTTAGCCAAAGATTACCACAAGCATAAAACGAATTCCTTTCTCTGACGTGAATCCTAGCTAATGTACACAGGAATTATGGGACTTGAGCCAAGATTGTACCAGCCTTACCCAGTGACATAGATAAATTTTATTTCCTAAGTTTGATTTTCAGTATCAAAATTTGATATTTTCCAAGTTCATTGACTAGACTATACATACATGTGATGGGATAAGTTTTTCATAAAATTTGATTATTACTCCGTATTCTTTGTTATCTCTCCAATAGTTTAAATTAGTATGTTGATACTTACCTGTCACCACTGAATTTCTTCACTTATTTTAGTTCAAGGATCATTCTTGTTTTCTTTTATAAGACACTATCCTTTGCTTTCCATTTTTCTTCTTCTAATTGTTTGGTAGTTTCTCAATTCTTCATCATTTCTGTTCAAAGTGTTTTTATACATTAATCCTCTGGATACAGTTTTTCTTAGATCACAGTTATGTGAGGTTATCAGTGTTTGATTAAATAAATTGTCCTCTTTTACTGATTTCTTTTCTGCTTCTTGTTTTATACATACTTGTTAGTAAAGCTAAGCCCAACTCCGGCCTCTAAAACTCTGGCCTTTTAGGGGCATCTATTCTAACTTACATTTCTATATCTAATAACAGGATGATCTAGTTATCTTGCTGGTGCATAACAAACTACCCCCAAATAGTGGTTTAAAACAATCCTTTTATTATTCCTCACGCTCCTGAGGGTTAACAGGCGCACCTGGGCGCTTCCTCAGCTAGTCTCACCTGAAGCCTCTCTGGCAGCCTCCGGCTGTGGTGGGCGGAGCTGGAATGTCCCAGTGCTTCTTCTGGCCCCTTGACTGAAAGGCTGGGTTCATGCCTGGCCGGTTGGCTCCGTGGAGTGAGCATCCTCCCATGGATTGAGAGGCCCTGGTTCAATTCCCGGTGAGGGCATGTGCCTTGGTTTTGGGCTCGGCCCGGGTCATGCAGAAGGCAGCCCATCGATGTTTCTCACATCAATGTTTCTGTCTCTCCCTTCCCCTCTCTCTAAAAAATAAATAATAACATATTTTTTTAAAAAAGAAAGAAAGACAGGCTGGGCTCAGCGGGAACGACTGAACCTCACCCTCATCAGGGCCCTCTCAGGGTGGTGTTTCCAGCAGGGTAGCCCCACTTCTACGTGAAAGCTCGGGGCTTCCAGAAGGCAAAAGTGGAAGCTGCCAGGCCTTCGGGCTTGGTCCCAGAGCCACTTCTGCCACACCTGTTGGTTGAAGTGAGTCTCAGGGTCAGCTGAGGTTCCGTTCGGGGGGAAATACACAGGCACCAGTACCGGAAGGCCACATGGACCTCGCTACCAGGGGGGTTTTCTTCTTTTCTCCACCAAGACCTTGATTTGTCTCTACTCCTCTTTCAGTTCCCTGTGTCCCTGGTGGTTTGCCTAAGCCTGTAAATGTCACCTTCTTATCCATAAACATGAAGAATACCCTACAGTGGAGTCCACCAGAGGGCCTACAAGGAGTAGAAGTTACTTATACTGTGCAGTATTTCATGTAAGTTGGTTCTTTTCCTTTTGGCTAATTTATAAACACAAGCCTCAGACTCCTATTAATGCCAATAGGATAAACCATCTTTTGTACTAAATAAGTGTTTGATAAGAAATGAATTATAGATGTTTCATGTTCAACTTTCTTGTAATGTTTTGTTAGGTTATCTTAGAGAACAGTCTCTTCATGGAGACGGGAGCACTGGGTGCTGAGCAAGGGGAGGTTATTTAAATGGAGAAAAGAGTCGGTCAGAGATTATTCTGTGGCCAAGCAAACAAGGAGAACCCATCATCTCTAAAACGTCTAAACTTATTGGAATTATAGACATTTTTAAGTGAAACAGCTCAGAATTATGTGCAACTAGCTGCTCCTATTAAAGATAGTAGTGGAGGGACATTTTTACTTTTCACCTCTCCCTCACAACTCATCGCAAACAAGAAAGAATGCAAATCAGATAGACCATGCCCATCTCCAAAGCAACCGAGGACATGGCCACAGCCCCCAAGCCACAAACTAAAAGGCGCACAAGCCAAATACTGTGAAATCCGAAAGAACACAACCAAAGATGGAAGTAAGCCTATACCTTCCCAAACTGCAACAGTAGACAATAACTTCACAAGAACAAATGACACAGTACTAAGAGGCTTACCCAACAGTCTAAGGATGTGGCATCTAAATATTTCTGTCACCAGAAGTTGAGGAAAGGTCCTCATGGAGCCCCAGGATGGTGCCCCAGGATGGTGCCACAGACTGTCAGAGAAGGAGGAGCTAAAAGAGAAGCCAGGGTCAGGTGTATTCATTGTAGAGGCTCAGTAGCAGCCCAGGGAGAACCCCAGTGTGAGTGGGGACAGGAAGGAGGAGAGGCAGCCCAGAGGCAGCCACATCAGTGTCCTGCTGTTGAAAACCTGACAGGCTCCCTGTCAAAGGAAACAATAGCATTCCATGATCATGACTGGCTGTGTGACAGACCTCAGTCCTGTACCCATTTACCTAGTATTCCAAAAATAGCTAGCCCCATCGAAAGAGCAACCGTCGCAAAGAAGCCAGCACAGCGCTTATCCGGAATTTCTGGAAGAGAGAAAGAGGGAAAAAGAACACAGGTGAAAAGTTCCTGAAAAGTTTTTTCATGGAAGCAGGAGAAGAATTCGGACAAATAATGGTCCATAATTTGAGTCCATAAACAACATGTTTCTAATGATAAAGCTTAAAGAAGTAGCAATCTCTTCTCAAAGAAGAGATTCTAAGACCACAGGGAGAATTCTTTTTTTAAAGCAAGCTTAGAAAAAAGACGGAAAATAAAAATGTTAAATAGGCTTTAAAAACCTATCATAGCTGTTAGTAATAGTTGACCAAGTCATACTGACTGTCTAGAATTGCATGTCGTAAATGCATGTTATGTGCAGTAGAATTTAGTAAAAACAACAGCAAGACATATCCTGGTGAAGTTATTGAACCTTGAGAAAATGAAATGATTTCTGGCCATCCTAGCAACAGCAGGACTCAAGTAGGGTGGGGGCATGGAGTGACTTCCGTCTGGTGGCACTCAGCACAAACCGGTGATGTAGCTTCTGCGGGAAAAGCAGGTGAGGCCTGAGGCCCTTCTCAGGTTGTATATAAGCATCATGAGATGTCCAGAGTCATGTATACCAAATAGTCCAGGTTAATGGGTTTCAGGATGATTTATTTGTCTCTTGATTCTACTTTTCTGATTGTTTGAGTTTTTGAAAAATGTAGCATATTTCAAAAAAGAATAAAGTCAGTTTTGTCTTTTAAAAAAATCCCAATCCCCAAAGGCAGTGGAAGATTTCAACTGCTCTTCAAGACGTCATTGATCCAGAACCTCATTCTCGTGTCTGAGGAGTTTGCCAGGGGCTTGGGTTAGGAAACAGACACCAGTGTGCCCAGGGAAACAGCTCCGGAGTACGCCCTTGCCTCCTGTTCCATTAGGCGGAGCAAAGTGCTTGCTCTGTCCTTTGTATGTCTCTGTGATTCAGAAAAGGATTTTTTTAATGGGCAGATTCATCACTGCTCTCTGACAGCAGGTCATTTAGATTATGCAACTTTTGAAAAGGAATATTGAAAAACAAACTTAGGAGGTAGACAGGAATACAGGACAGTGTATTTCACTGACAAGGCTCCAAGCTCAGCTGGAGTCAGACAGTCCTGGGTTCATAGCCAGGCTACAAACTAGCTGGGTAACCTTGGGCAGGTTATATATCATACTTTTTTTTTTTTTAATCCTCACCCATGGATATTTTTGCCTTTATCTTCAGATAGAGCAAGAGGGAGAGAGGGAGAAAGAAAGAAAAACATCCATGCAAGAAGGATACACGGAGTGGTTGCCACCCACACTACCCCAACCAGGGCCAGAGACAAACTGCAACCGAGGTACATGCCCTTAGCAGAAACCGAACCCCGGACTCTCTGGTCTGTGGGCCGATGCTCTAACCACTGAACCACACCGGCCAGGGCTATATATTATACTTTTGAATGAAATTTGTTTCCAAGTAAAAGATAAAATTTTAGGCAAACGTTTAAATTATATCTGCCAAAAGAATTTAATGCAAAAATATATAGTGTGACACTAAAAGCTCAAGCTTTAGCATCAGAGAAAAGTGGTTCAAGTCCCAGATATGCCTGTACTAATGATATGAACTTGAACGGTTGGTTCCCTTAATCTCGCTGAGTCTTAGTCTCCTCATCTGTAAAATGGGATAAAAATAATGGCACCTGCCTCCTAGGGATATTATGATAATTAAGTGAGATAAAGTGTGCAAATACTAAACACCATCTGGCACACAACCAGCACTTGGTAAATGTTTCCTGCCAGGACCAGAAAGCAATCAGAGACCCCTGAGGGCCCCTCATGACTTTTTCCCTTGCACAAACATCATGATAGGCATGAATGATTCATGCCTATCAGCTTGTCAGACTTACAAAGCGTTTTGTCCAGAACCCACTAAAGAACATTTCCTCCTTCATCAACACCGTAGTGGAAAGCTACCCTGCCCTTGACAGAGTGAGGATGTTTGAGAAGAGAGAGTCAAATAGGCAAAGGCAATATTTCTCAAAACACAAATCAAGACCTGTGAGTGGGACATGATATCAATTTTGAGGGATATAACTAACTTTTTGTTGTTGTTGTTGTTGTTAATCCTCACCCCAGGTTATATTTTTCCATTGACTTTTAGATAGAGTGGAAGGGAGGGAGGGAGGGAGGGAGAGAGGAGGGAGAGAGAGGGAAACACAATGTGAGAGAGACACTTTGATTGGTTGCCTCCCAGATGACCCTGACCAGGGCCAGAGATCAAACCTGCAACCCAGGTACGTGCCCTTGACTGGGAATCGAATCCAAGACCCTTCGTTCCACAGGCCAACACTCTAACCACTGAGCCAAACTGGCCAGGGCATACCTAACATTGTTTTTAATGGAAAGGGTTGAAATGGTATGGAGTGGATTGGAATGGAAAATAGCCGTGCACAGCATGCAGTAGTTTAAGTATTATCTTTTAAGAACTTTGTGTTAATATATTAGATATACGTATGTTTTTATGAGCTGGGTCACAATGTGAACTGTATTTATTTATGTAGCTCATACTTTTGAAAAGTTTGATAGTCCCTCCCTAGACAGTGATGATCACTTGGATGGAGGAGTTTGGTCACCAAGATCTGACTATAACATTTCTAATGTCTTCCGATAGGTATGAAACCGGAGACATGTACTTTCAGGAATCTGTTGCCATATTCTGAAAAGGGAAGATACTCTTAATCTTTGACAACACTTGATAAAATTTGACATTTCCTCCCTCTCAGGACATGCTTTTCCCTTGCTTTTGTGATGTCTGTTTTCCTTCTTTCTCTTTAACTGCAATTTCTTTTTTATAGGTTTCAAGTGTACATTTCTATAATATATCATCAGTATATTGTATTGTATGTTCACTACCTAAAGTCAAGTCCTCTTCCATCACCATGTATCCTCCCTTGATCCTCTTCTACACCCTCCCCCCCATCTTTCCCTCTGGTAATCCCCATACTGCTATCTGTTTCTAAGTGTGCTTTGAATCCAACCTTTAAATCTTGATGCTCCTGACATTTTATGCTAGGCTTTGCTTTGTCTCCATGGATAATTTCATTCACGCCTGTGCCTTCAAAGGGCAGTTTTATGCCCTTGATTTCAAAATCACTACCTCCCACTCATACCTCTTTCCTGAACCCCAGCGGCTGTGGGTCTCTGCGTCTGGATATCTTTCACGTACCACAAGCTCAGCATGTCAGCTGAACTCATTGTCTTTCCTTCCTTCTACTCCGCGTTTCCCAACCCCACTCATCTTTGGTCTCCTTTTTCTTGGTAAATGTTACCACTGTTACACACTTTGGTCCAAGACAGAAAGAGACATTCTTTGCTCATCTCTTACATGCTGTCAATCACCAAGTCCTGTGTCCTGGTATTTCTTCCTTTTGTCCTGTCGTGAGTTCCTCTGCCACCATCTTTGTCTCAGCCACCTACGTTGTCCACCTGCAGGAGCCTCTCCACCCCTTCCAGGCTGCCACTCCTAGCCCACTGCAGTGTCCAGGCTGCCACCAGTTGCCCTTCTGAAACCCTAACACCCTGCTGTAGTCCTTCAGTAGCCTCCCACGCGACCCTGTCTCTTTCCCCAGCGTATCTCCGTCACTTAAACTCTCTATACCTCCTAAAAATATCCCCCTCCCTATTTACTCGGGGTGTTGTATTAGTGATAAAGGAAAGGAAAAATAGGCATGAACAACCTCGTTATATTGTCATTATCATCATCGCTGGAATGATGGAAAATGCAGGTTTGGGCTCTTTGACCTAGTGAATTTCCCCCAAACCCTTGATGGCAAGTAGATTTTTAAAGTTTAGGAGAATGTCAAGGTAATTTTTCTTCCAAGAAAAAAACATGACTAATTTTTCTTAAAACAACCCATTAAATTGACCTTAGTATGCCCGGTAGACTAGAAACAACTCAGATATAGAAGAATTGATCACACAATATGTAAAGTTTTTACTGTAGCCCGAGCATAATAAAGTGCATGCTTACAAAATGTACTATCCACATTGTAACTCACAGAAAAGAAAGGTGATTACAGAAACTCTGACTCATGTTCCTGTCAGCTGATGAAAAATGGCCAGCAGCAAAAGCAGATTCTTTTTTATCTCCGTGACAGGCACGTCTGTTGTTTTGAAGAGAAGGTCTTAGTTCCATTCAGTTTTATATAATGACTGGTTTTTTCCTATTGTAAAGCATAGAGGGCACCTTATTATTAATTCGCTGTTTCCTTCTCCGCAGATATGGGCAAAAGAAATGGCTGAATAAATCTGAATGCAGAAATATCAACAGGACCTACTGTGATCTCTCTGCTGAAACTTCTGACTTTGAACATCAATATTATGCCAAAGTTAAAGCCATTTGGGGAACTAATTGTTCCAATTGGGCAGAAACTGGACGATTCTATCCTTTCTTAGAAAGTAAGTAACACACTTGTCTGTTAAACCCGTATTAATCTCACGCTCATCTGACCTCCTAGTGCTAACAGTTTCAGCCTCATAGACAGCTTTGCCTGAGAAGCCAGTGCTCTGCTTGGCTCTGTTCTGCACTCTGTCCGTCCGCTGGTGGGGTGACCAGCCCAACATGTTTCTCCCTGCTGCACCCAAGTCTCAACTTCAGAGTGAAAGCTTTGGTCAAGTGACCTCTGAGATCTCTTCCTGATCCCCAATTGACACTAGATGTTGATATTATCAAATTTGTATTTTATCTTATCACTTAGTGGAGACTATGTAATTTGAGGAATAACTGACAGATTTTTTTTATTGTTGTGGTCTTATAAACCATTGACTATGTCCGTGAGCTTGATTAAAGATTATTCTGATCATCAAACTAAGTCTTTTGTTTTTACAAACTTGGTGGTATGATGACGTAATTTCTGGGTGTAACTCAGAATTAAAACATCTTCCTGGTGTTTGGTGTATCATTATTCCGTGCCCTGATCTGTAGCTGACTCTGATGGAAGACTCACACAGAGCTGCCATGTGGCATGTCCAGGTTCTCCTTAGATCCTGAAGCTGGAGCTTTTCCCTGGCACCCTTGTAGCTCAGAAGCTGGCAAACTATGCCCTCAACCAAATGCAGCACCATCCCTGTCGTTCTCCTGGCGAAGAGCTAAGGATGGGTTTCACATTCATATAAATAACAGTTGCAACGGAGATCGTATCTGGGCCTTTACGGTAACACTTTGCTAACCTGGGTCCTCGATCATGCCGGTCACATCTCCAAAGGTCTTTAGCAAGTGCCTCATTTCTGCATGTCTGCTTTCTGCCATGTATCACATCATATTAATGTTATTTATCACCAATTTTTCGCCCTGGCCAGTTTGGTTCAGCAGTTAGAGCGTCGACCTGCGGTCCTGAGAGACCCGGGTTCAGTTCCCGCTAAGGGCGTGTACCTCGGTTGCAGTTTGTCCCCGGCCCTGGTCGGTTGTGTGGGTGGCAGCCACTCGATGTGTTCCTTTCACATCGATGTTTCTCTCTCTCTCTGTTCCTCTCTCTCCCTCCCACTCTACCTGAACAAAAAATGGAAAAATGTCCTCGGGTGAGGATAACAAAAATAAAAATAAATAAATAAAACTATCACCAATTTTTCAAGTTACAGCAGTGTTATAAACAGTTCTCATTGTATTTGCTATCAAGTACTAGTTATCCATGTGACCAGGGACTGAGTAAATGCGACTCCTCAGTGGACGATTTTGACACTGTGTCAGGGCACGTGGATTGCTTGCTTTGAGATTTGGCCCGCCCCGGACCCACCTGAGTGCATTCTGAGGCACCGCAAATCAGAGGCTGGGCTTTAAGCTTTGATCCCGGCAGGATTAGACTATAGTGGTATCCAGGGTGGTTTCTACATCTGAACACGATTTCCTCTCCTCAGCACAAATTGGCCCACCAGAGGTTGCTTTGAATCCTGAAGAGAGATCCATTTCTGTTGTTCTGACGGCTCCAGAGAAGTGGAAGAAAAATCCAGAAGAAAGTTCCATTTCCATGCAACAAATCTACTCTAATCTGAAGTATAATGTGTCCGTGTATAATACTAAGTCAAACAGAACGGTAAGCCGGGAGTGGAGTGGGGCGCACGTAACGGGGCGTGATGTTGCTGTCGGAGTAGTTGGCCACCTCAGTGTGATGGGGAGTTGGTACTGGCATAACATCTGTCAGCCACGCTCCAAAAGGAAAACAGTGTAGGCAAGAACACAGGACGAGGTTGAATAAGAAACCCATCCTTGCGTTATTCTTTAGCACTGTTCCCAGGATTGTTTCTGTTCCTGACCGTGCTCTGCCGAGCTAAAGGAAAAGTGTATTTTAAAGCTATTGCTGAAAAAAAAGCTTGCAGTCACAGTAGAGGATTTCATGGTATCTCGGTCGCTTATTTCCTTGTAGAGTTATTTGTCTGGGGTGGTGCTGGAAATCTTTGCCTGTAACTGATGTTTGCAATTCCCTGCGCCAGTGGTCTCAGTATGTGACCAACCACTCGCTGGTGCTCAGCTGGCTGGAGCCGGACACACTGTACTGCATCCGCGTGAAGTCCTTCGTCCCAGGACCGCCTCGCCTTGCTCAGCCCTCCGAGAAGCGGTGTGTCAGTACTTTGAAAGGTAGGCTTTAAAACTATCCCAGCTGCTCCGAGGAAGGAAGTCTGAAACTAGAAGAGAGTAAGGCAGTGTAGACAAGGTATTGGCAAATCCACTTCTACCAGAAACAGGTTGAGGCAAAGGCAGAAACAGCCGTCACCAGAAATGCATTGAGCGGCCTGGGACGCTGCCTTTGAACTTGGCCAACGTTAGGGAATGTTTTCACCCCTTGGGGAACTCTCAGCACCAGTCCTGGTATTTATTACCAACAAGCCTTTGCCTTGGGAAATAACTTAGGAACTTTTATACACATCTTTTCTTTTTTTTTAATTATAATCTCTCTGGTCAGTAGAGTTCTGTGGTCTTCGAGAGCATCAGACAATCATATTGCTAGAAACAAAGCATTCACTTAAAAACACTCACACACAGAGTCCTTCGCTGCCCCTCAGGAATACAGATCGCTGGCTCTGCACATCATGTTCCTGTATCACCGACTGGCTAGTGTGGGATCCACAAGCCAGTAATTACGGCCTCACTCTTACAGTCTCTTCTCTCTCCTTTCTTCTATTTGTCTCCTTCTCACGTTTTCTGAACTTGGCTGCCAAGGAGCTGTTAGGAGACATGGAGTTAGCAGCTTGGCGTTGGTGTGATTATTCTTGCCCCAGAGTGAGAGGACCTTGTACCCAACACCTGAAGACAGAAAACACATCCTAAAGTTGATCTTCACTGAGTGGCTCTTCACCCAGTATTCTTCTGTTTCTCTCTTCCAGACGTGCTGGCCTAAGACAAACGTCACACCCCTCTCCCCCGCCTTGGTTCCATCACCGGCTATGGGACAGGTGCGCCCCTCCCCCTCACGCCTCCCACATTTCATGACGAAAGTGTCTCAAAGAATAGAAAGGGAATTTTGTCAGTACAAACAGAACATGAACAGCTTTATTTTTAAATCTCTATTCTTACCATACCTTTCCCTTTAAAATGAAGGGTGCTCTGCCACATGTCAAATAAAACTAAAATGCTAAGCAAGCAAAAGCCAAAACAAAACAGATTGAAGAAATCATTTTTGTATTTGGATAAAGTGCTCTGTTTACTAATAGCTTGATCAGTGGCCAAATGGTAGGAATGCATTTCAGTGGAAGTCATTTAAGCAGCTGGCAGAGTTGAGCAACTAGAGTACAGATTAAATTAAACACTTCCCGGTAAGCAGATGGAGCAACTTTCTAACTCCTTTAGGAAAGGTAACAAAAGAACGAGGGGGCACCATTTCGGGTCCTGACCTCAGCCACGATATCCCAGCTGTCAGGTCACCCCAGACACTGCTATGGTGACCTACTTAAAAAAAAAACAAAAAAAAACAGTATTATCTCTTTTGGGACTATTTTTTGAAAAATAGTTCTGCTCTCCACAGTCCCTAGTCTCTACAATACAGATACAGTTTCTTAGGTTTATTGCAGCCAATATGTGCTGGTGTACACTGGTGCCGCCAGTCACTGCTGTCTTGGCTCCTTTTAATGAGGGCAAGTTCTGTCCAGAGACCAGGGGTTGTATCAAGAGGACTGGACTGAGTTGTAGCCTAAAGTAGGAGCAGGTGGTGCTCAGCCACCTGCAACCTCTGCACTGTGGTGCTGGCACTCTCTGGGTGGAGCCTGCTGGCAGCTGTGCTCTCAGGAACTGTTCAGGGTAGAAGGGCCAGCGGCTGGACCCCCTACCTGCTAATCTGCTTCACTCACGTTTATTCAAATTCTAATCTCATCTGAAAAAAAAAAAAAAAATGCCGTCACAGAAATATTTGACCAGATAGCTGGGTACCATCGTTTAGCCAAATTGACTCATAAAACTAACCAAGACTGACCACGTACCCCATAGGAGCTTAACAAATAGAATTTAGTTACAATGATCCTGTTCATCGACTGTATACTCTGATCAATGGTGGGTCAGGACAACTATTTTTAAAACTATTCACCAGGTCTTTTCATTCCCTGTGGACTTTTACTTATCATGAGCCCTCAGCTCATCAAAACCTGGAAGGAGCTCCTGCCATCCTCAGCACACACCAGCTCAGCCCCTCCCTGCACGCACCCCGAGCTCCGATGCACCCGGGGTGTCTGGCCAGGCAGCGCAGGGGTAGTTCCGTTGATCACGTAGAAGGTGACACCATATATTCCTGTCCTCTACTGAATATATGGAAACACACCGAGTCAAATAAGGGGGTTGGAAAAGCAGGGCTGCTTAGTGGGATCCTCCCGAGAGGGTTTTGTTGTTCGGTCGGAGAGCTGTGAGTTGCCTGAATTTCAGACACATTTACTTTCTTTTTTTTTTATCCTCACCCGAGGACACTTTTCCATTTTTTGTACAGATAGAGTGGGAGGGAAAGAGAGGAAGGGAGAGAGAGAGAGAAACATCGACGTGAAGGGACACATCGAGTGGCTGCCACCCGCACGACCAACCAGGGCCAGGGACAAACTGCAACCGAAGTACGTGCCCTTAGCGGGAACCGAACCCGGGTCTCTCCGGACCGCAGGCCGACGCTCTAACCGCTGAGCCAAACCGGCCAGGGCGACACATTTACTTTCAAGTCTAAAAATCAACATGAATCTCATAGCCAGGCATAAAATATTAGACTGTATGCGGACATGGGTTGTTAACACATCTGGGTTTGAGACAGTCCAGATGATTCCTTAAGATCATCTATTGTCAGAGACGGTAAGAATTCTGAGACGCCTCATAACATTCTTTATAAATGAGAAAACGAACTCCTAAATGTAAGTGTTCTGCCCAAAGCCTCTTGATATCGCCAGTGTTTTCCCACCACACCAAATTACTACTGTCTACCCCCCTCCCTTTTTTTTTACAGGTCAAACATCAACATTGAAAATTAAAATCATTTTCTGGTATGTTTTGCCCATATCTGTTACCGTGTTTATCTTTTCTGTGATGGGCTTCTCCATGTACAGATATATCCATGTTGGCAAAAAGGAACACCCAGCAAATTTGGTGAGTGCTAAGTGTGATAGGACTCATTAAAACAATACCCTCCCCCCCCCCCCCAGGAGGCTGGGAAAGGAGGTTCTAGAGCAGAGACCATTCCTTTTAGGGGCAGAAAGAGTTTAAGATTGAAGAACTGATAAATTGAAAAATGTACTTTCTCCACTAGATTAACTCACTAACATAACTGAAGAGAAAGATCCCTTAGCATTGACAAAGATTTTATGTTTAATGACCAGGTTAGTCCGGGCCTTGAAATACGACATAAAGTAAGTCATGATCCACGTCCTTCCAGAGGCTCAAGTCTAGTTGGGGACAAGAATGTCCAAGTGATATGTTATGGCCAAGGTGAACGTAGGCACCGAGGCGGTAGGGGCACAGGGAGGGCGCTGAAGCCCTGCATGGGACACCAGCAGAAGCTTCGTGCCTGGGCTCGTTTGTGAAAGGTGAAGCCGAGGAAGTCGAAGCGCGCAGTGGTAATGGATGGCTGTGCTGAAGCATAAGTTCCCTGATGAGAAGCTATTAAAGATGAGACTAAGAGTGGGTGGTAAGGCCAGGTAATGAGAGAACTGGGCCGCTAGTCTAAGGAGCTTGGGCTTTGTTCTGTTGGCAATGAAATCTCTGTAGGGTTCTGCGTGGGGAGTGCCTTGGTCAATATTGTGTTTTAGATCCAACTGCATAGTGGATCTAAGACAACATTAAGGAGAGTAAGACTAGAAAAACAAGTACAGTAACTAGGAGACTGGCAGTTTTCCAAAGGAGAGAAGATGAGAGTCTAAAAGAGAGAGTGGGAGGTCGGGCTGGAGACAGACATGGAATGGAAGCACACTAAGGGGGAGAATAGCCAAGCCCTCATCATTCACAGCAAGGAGAAGCCAGATGGTAAAAGGAATAAGCCTTATCCTTTTGGACCACTGAAGGGTTTGAAAGACTGAGCATATTTTAATAATAAAATGATTTCTTTGGAAATTATTAAAATATATGTTTGCATGTACACGATGCATACATGTATTCCTATAAGTTCAGTTTAAACATGTTTCTATGAATTTGCCTGCATTTAGGGTTTGGAGTTAGCTCTCCAGGGAGGAAAATTACAGAACTGACCACAGGTGACTTTTTTGAAACCAGAAAATTTTTAAAGAATGAAGCTGAAGGACCTATTTTATAATGTTAAATGAAATGACATAATAGATTAGACAGTGAGGATTACCAGGTAACTCGTCACTGGCAATCTAAACAGGCACCTCACACATATCCCCAGCAACGTTTTAATCTGAAACAAGTTTTCCTGACATGGTTTAGTTTCTCTATCTGCCATAAACTGGCAAATGGATTTCCCTTTTTGGCTTTATTATAGCATGAGTCGATTGGTGTATGGAGGAAGTAAGTAAAACCATCCTTACTCATATTCTTAATCTTCCTTTTTACATCCAGTTTTCATGCCCGCCCACATTTCATGTCCAGACTGTATCCAAGAAAGGGCTGGGAGCCCAGGTAACCACAGTTTATTAGCAAATACATAGTAAACTATACTCAACAAAGCAATTTCAGAACCTCTGTTTTACTCAGTTCTCACCACTCTCTCTGTGGCAGAAATTCTGATTTTGCAGAATTAAAAATCAAGGTTTAAGAAGTTAAATAACTCCATGAATCTTCAGTTAGAGGAAGGGCCGATCACACCATTATCTTTGACCTGGACAAATACCCACCAGTGAACCACTTTCCACTTCCATATGCTTTTCCTGTGACTTGGGTCTCTTGCCTCCATGTGAATGAGGTTTTCTGTATATTCCAAGCATAGCTCTCACTCCACGAGTTGGTAAGACTGGATCTTTAAAACTATCTGATGACAGTATAAGTTCTACTTAACAGCTGTTTTTAATGTCTCTCTAAAGTGAAAAGGTGAAAACCATTCTCTTCTCTCTTTATAGATTTTGATTTATGGAAATGAACTTGACAAAAGATTCTTTGTACCTGCTGAAAAAATTGTGGTTAACTTTATCACCCTCGGTATTTTGGAGGATTCTAAAATTTCTCAGAAGGACGGAAGTGTAATGGAAAAAAGCAATGATGGCTCGGACCTGAATGAGCCCCGCAAGGACCAGGAGCCCCGTGAGGAGGAAACGGGGGTGAAGCATTTAGGGTATGCTTCACATTTCATGGACGTCTTCTGTGACTCTGAGGAAAGCTCCGAAGGGACTTCCCTGACCCAGCAAGAGTCACTCAGCAGAACAATACCCACAGAGAAAATAGCCCTTGACTATGAATATGATGTGAGAACTGCTGACGTTTCCCTGGGGCCTGGAGATCAAGAGCTCGGTTTGCAGGAGGAGGAGGTGTTCCTACAAGGAAAACTATTTGAACCACAGGCAGCTTCTGCAGACTCAGGCCCACACACACTACTGTATTCATACACTCCTCAACTCAGAGACTTGGCCCACCTACCAGAGGAGCATGTGGACACCGGAGAGGAGCCAGAAGAGGAGCCAACCACTACCCTGGTTGATTGGGACCCTCGGACTGGCAGGCTGTGGATACCTTCACTGTCTAGCTTTGAACATGACTCAGAAGGATGTGAGCATCCTGAGTACCAGGAGCTCACACACGAGGGCCTTTTGTCAAGACTGTATGAGCAGCAGGCTCCAGACAAGCTACTGGAAGAAGATGAAACCTATCTGATGCAATTTTTGGAGGAATGGGGGTTGTATGTACAAATGGAAGACTAGCGCCCACACTTCCCTCTCTGCCCGACCCCTACTGTTACAAGGCACACGAGTGTGAACATCTGAGTGACCAAACAATAAAGGACCTGAGATAAAAGTTTACCCATGTTTTTCTGTGTCAGTGAGAACTACTTATTTCTCCTCTTTCTTCTCATAGCACCTGCTTCGTTCTGCCTTGTGTGGGTGGGTGGTTCACGCCTGGGGGTCTCCTGCAGTCACCCGGCCTATGTGGCTGACCCCTTGCTTTGGACCCAGGAAGTATGCGGAAATGCTTGCCAAGCTGGATGCAGAATGTATTCTAGTGAGTGTACTGTGGCCTCGGTGTTGTTTTCTAACAAGCATACTTCTACATTACCTTCTGGTAACTGTATAGCACTGTAAAAAATACAGAAGTTGGTTAGAAAAATGACATATTAAAAACATACAAATATCACTGGGTGGTAAGTCAACCACACTTAAGGACCCCAACCCACTGTTAAATCATAACATATGTGCAAAGTGAACAAATCAGGCACCGATATTCTTGATATAACACACTTTGCGCTACTTTAAGTGGTCAAGTAGTACTTTATGTGATGCTCTGGAGTTATTATTATTATTTTGTAGTCAGAAAATGTCCTCTCGATAACTTAGTAGGGGCTTTTTAGTAGGGGACTAGCCTGAAAGAAAATGCCACATTTTATAATAGAATATTACATTTATTTCTGGAAATCTTGTTTTATTAAATTATTGAGATGGCATTGGTTAATAAGATCATACAGGTTTCAAGTGTACATTTCTGTGATACATAATCTGTATCTTGCATTGTGTGCCCACCACCCAAAGTCAAACCATCTTCCATCACCCCCTTCACGACCCCTACTAGCCTTCCCTCTGGTTACTACCACACTGTTGTCTGTGTCTATGAATTTTGGTTTTACATCCCACACATGAGTGAACTCATGTGGTTATTAGTTTTCTCTGACTGACTTATTTCACTTAGCATAATATTCTTAAGGTTCATTCATGTTGTCACAAATGGCAGTATTTCATCTTTTCTTATGGCTAAATAGTATTCCATAGCATATATGTACCACATCTTCTTTATTTAATCCTCTATCAAAGGACACTTTGATTGTCTCCATGTCTTGACCACTGTGAATAATGCTGCAATGAACTTAGGGGTGCATATATCTTTGCAAATAAATATTTTCAATTTCTTCAGGTAGATGCCCAGGAGAGGGATTGCTGGGTCATATGGTAACTCTGTTCTTAATTTTCTGAGGAACTGCCATACTGTTTTCTACAGTGGCTGTACCAGTATACACTCCCACCAGCACTGAATGAGGGCTCCTTTTTCTCCACAACCTCTCCAACACTTGTTACTACCTACCTGTCTTATTTATAGCAACCATTCCAACAGGTGTGAGAGGGTATCTCACTGTGATTTTGATCTGCCTTTCCCTAATGGCTAGTAAAGTTGAACATCTTTTCATATATCTGTTGGCCATCCACATGTTTTCTTAGGAGAGGTGTCTCTGTTCAAGTCCTCTGCCCATTTGGATTGTTTGTTTGGTGCTGAGCTATGATAATCAAAGCCACATGGTATTGGCAGAAAAACAGACATAGAGACCAACTGAACAGAATTGAGAAGTAAAACCACACGTACATGGACAAATAATTTTTGACAAAGGAGCCAAAAACACACCATGAAGAAAAGAAAGCCTCTTCAATAAATGGTGCTGGGAAAATTGGAAAGCCATATGCAAATGGATGAAACTAGACTACAGTGTGTCCCCATGTACAAAAATTATTTCAAAATGGGTCAAAGACCTAAATGTAAGATCTGAAACAATAAATTACATAGAAGAAAACATAGGTACTAAACTTATGGACCTTAGTCTTAGAGAACATTTTATGAATTGGACCCCAAAGGCAAGGGAAGTAAAGGCAAAAATAAATGAATGGGACTATATCAAACTAAAAAGCTTCTGCACAGCAAAAGAAACTTCCAGCAAAACAAAATCAACCAACTGAATGGGAGACAATACTTGCAAACAGCTTTGACAAGGGGTTAAAATCCAAAATATATGGAAATGTATTTTTATTTTTTATTTATTTACTTTTTAATTTTTATTGATTATTTTAGAGTGAGGAAGGGAAGGGGGGGAGAGAGAGAGAGAGAGAAACATCAATGAGAGACAGAAGCATCAACATCAGTTGGCTACCTCCTGCACACCCCCCACTGGGGATCGAGCCTGCAACCCAGGCATGTGCCCTGACAGGGAATCGAACCAGTGACTTCTTGGTGCATGAGTCAATGCTCAGCCACTGACCTACACCAGCCAGGCTGAAATATGTTTTTAAAGGTATTTACATAGTCTGTAAACTAGAACGTGTTTTTAGTAGTTGAAGCAATGTGTGACTATTACATTACTCTATGGTAATGTACAGTGGCTCAAAGACTAGTTGGAGTATGTATGAATGGATAGTCCTCATCCACATAATTTTAAAATCAATAAGTAAACAAGGACATACAAAAGAAATAAGTTAAATAAACATGTAAGGTTAAGTATACTAAAAATGTGACATAATTTACTGTAGAAACTAAAGTGTACCATAAAACAACACCTTCCTAGTTAAATTCCAGTAACTATACCAATCTCCTTCTCCATTAGCTTAGAAAATTAAATTCTACAATCATAGTGCATTAAAATATGACAAACTCGATTAGGTTGAACCATATAAAATTGTTGATATTTGACTGTTTTTGACCAGCTGAAACAGCAATCTCATAAGATTTACCTTAATATATATTTGTTTAATCATCAGCTCATAGTCCATTGAGGTTCTTTCAGGAAAACAGATATCCATATTTCCTTATTTCTATTTTTGGCGCAGGCAGACAACCCTGGTAGGAGAGATGGATTCTGGAGATTGTCCACAAATTCAAACCGTTTCTGATCTAATGGTTTAATTTAGAGCATAATTATATTAACTAGAGTGTTCTGTTCTTCTCAATCTTTGTAAAAATGATCCTGTTAGTTTTGAAGAACAGATTTGTAACACTCACTGTGAAAGAAGATCAGGAGTGGGAAAGAATGAATTGTTATTAAGAGCAAAAAGAAGCCCTGGCCGGTTTTGCTCAGTGGTTAGAGCGTCGGCCAGTGGACCAGAGAGTCCCGGGTTTGGTTTCTGCTAAGAGCACGTACCTCGGTTGCAGTCTGTCCCCAGCTCTGGTTGGGGTCATGTGGGTGGCAACTAGTCGATGTGTCTCTCTCATGTCAATGTTTCTCTCTCTCTCTCTTCCTCCTCTCTCCTTCCCGCTCTATCTGAAGATAAATGCAAAAATGTCCTCAGGTGAGGATTAAAAAAACAAAAAAACAAAGTGATTGATGATAGTTTGATTCATTCATTTCATTCACAAAATACTGATTGAGCACCTACTGTGTCTCACAGTGTCCTCATCTATGAAATAGGGCTGACGCCTCCCCCAGGGTTGTTTTGGGGATAAAAGAGTTAGAACACAGAAGGCATTGAGTCCGGCCCTGGCACACCGTGAGTGCTAGGTATGTGTTTTTTGTCGTCCTTATCAGCAGCCAGAGCATGTGCCTAGCACCAGAGAGAGAAGCCATTTAGACATAGGATTATTTCCATTCAAAGGCAGAGTTTGTTTGCCTCACTTTGTTTTTCTTACTTGAAAGTACAATAGTAATTTGCTTCCCACTTTATGCCTTCAGATTGAAATCCATCAGCAATTTTGTAAAAAGGAATCTAATTCTGAGTTGCTTTTACCTCTCTTGTCAATCTAAGCATGTCAGAAGTAGAGCATTTAAAAAAGTCTGTGTCTTCAGTACTTTGCAACATATGTGCGCGCGCGCGCGCACACACACACACACACACACACACACACACACTGAAACGTGAGCATGAGATAGGTACTTCTTATGGGAGAAGGTAGCACACTCTTAGATGCAGTGTGTCTGTGTGAGTGGCCAGAGACCTCATCAGATTCCATTCCTAGGCTTGAGGTCCAAGTGGAGCTGAGAAGTTGAGGTTTCAGAATCTTTGACAAGTGCTCCTCATCCTCTCCTTGGCTTTTTGTCAGCTTTAAGATTTTCACACCATTTCCATGCTAGGTAAGTTTTCCTTGTGAAAACATCTATTAGTGGCTCTGTTTCTGCACCCCATAAACTTTAAACAACTGGGTGAATTAAAAAACCTACTGAAGTGAGTGAAACCTAGTGCTACATTTTGCACAAGGGAAGAGAGTATATGAAGAGGGACACTTATCCCCTCAGCCTACGACAAGGGGAAGATCTGGTGCCGCCAGGCTGAGCTCAACTCAAAGGAAATCAGTGCAGAGAAAAACCGTTTGTACAGCGCAGAGCTGTACATGTAAGGAGAGCATCTAACAGAGGCTCCGCCAGCGTGGATCGGGGCACCTGGGTCTAAGTCAAATTCTTTCTGGCCCTCACATCACTACCCCCTGAGATGAACTTCTGCTAAATTATCTTGGACGAACTGTTTTTCTCTATGTTCTTTGTGGTTCCTCACATTACATCTTCCATAAAACTTCTCTCTGCAGTTTTTCCAAAGACCTTGGTCAAGAGCATGTGCCTATAATTTTTAATAAATAGTGCTATGGTTGTGGGTATTTTGGTAGTAGCTTTTATTTTAACTCCAGAAGAGAAATGTACACATATTCACTGTAGAGTAATCAGAAATCAGGAGGGAGGAATTACCTGTAATACTCCCACCTAGATTTAACCGCTGAAAGCTATTAGGGTAGAGAAATGATTCTCAACGAGTGGGGGGGGGGGGTGATTTTTGCCTCCTATGGCACATTTGGCAATATCTGGAGACATTTTTTATTGACAGGACTCAGGGAGGGGGCTCCCTGCATTTAGTGGGGAGATGACAGGAATCCTGCTAAAAATCCTACAATGCACAGGACAGCGCCCCCATGATAAAGAATTATCAGACCCAAATGTCAGTGGTATAGCCTAGGTTGATAAACCGTA